TTTCCTCAAGCATAAATAAAGGAGGGGAGTCTGTGCAGAGATGGGGGAGGGCTCAGATGGGGAATTGCGAACAGGTTGGGGTGTCTGGAAGGAGCAATGGGAGAGGTGTGGAGTTTGGGGGAAGAGGCGTGTGGAGACGTCCTGGGGCTTTGGAGTGTAACTGTCTGGGCCCAGACGCTGGGACTGGTTTGCCTGGCCCCGAGGCTTGGTCCCTGGGGGAAGGACCCCTCCGCCCAGCAGAAGACCTGGTCACGCAGCTGCCTGGCTGCCAGACCAGAGTGGAAACTGCATCCGTCCATCCAGGCTGCCGAGGCTGCTGGGGAATGTGATGAGGCTGCTGAAATGGGGCCCCTGGCAGGGGGGATGCAGCCGCGGCTTCCCAGAAACCCCGCTCTGGTTCTGCCAACACAGAATAGCTGATAAGGTTTGCATTAGAAAACCAGACCCTGAGGGGCTGGAGTGGGGCCTGCTGCCTGGAGCTGCCTGGGGAGAGGGTGCCAGGAGTTGGGGGGGGGCAATCTGTGGTTGGGGGGCAGGAGCCCCTCAGCCCAGCCTGGATGGACTTCCTCCCACCCTCCATATGACAAATGGAAAAACCGAGATGCAGCGCCCCAAGGGACACGACCAGGGTCCCACAGCAAGGTCATCAGGAGGTGACAGAGCCCCCTTCTTCTTCTAGTCAAGGGACTTCCTGCTGCCCTGCTTCCTAAGAATCCCACAAACTCCCAGATGTCACTCAGCAGCAGGCAGTGGGATGAGATAGCCCTTGTCTCATATTCTGCTCTGTCACCTCCTGGCTGTGGGATCTTGGTCTGCTACCATAACCTCGCTGAGCCTCAGTGTCCCCATCTGTATAATGGGGATAATGCATGCTTTGCAGAGTCATTGTGGTCTTTCAATAAGACAATGTGCGTCTTGGGCTTAGCACACTGACTGGCACATAGTGGGTGCTCAGAAATGCTCAATCCCTTCTCCTTTTCTGCTTGCATGCGTGGTCCTGGCCAGCCAGCGAGAGCTGAGGCCGTCTGCATAGCATGCCTCCCGGACACAACCCACACGTGGGGATATTGAATAATCTGGCTCCATATGGCTCCACTGAGCCCCCAGATCCCAACAGCATGGCCCCTCTCTCCTTCATTATTCGTTTATTGAGCAAATATTTATTGAGGGCCTAGTGGGTGCCAAACACTGTTCTGGGGAGGGGGCCACGAAGGCATGGCGATCATGTGCAAAGGCACAGAAGACCAGACGTGAGAATGCAAGCACTTTACACACCGCACGCATCCAACCCCTGTTCTAGCGGCATCTGTTGTGTACCAGGCCCTACCCTCAGCCCTGGGCCACAGCTAGAGGTGGGGAATGGGGCGAGGAGGAGGGGCAGAGAGCTTGCCCACTCCTCTGTGATTTACTAATTAACTAGAAGACCCCAGGCCGGTACCTGGTGATAGTTTTGACTTGCCACCCAGACCGGGAGCAGAAGAGAAAGAGGGCAACTCTCCACCCAGCGTCCTTGCAGTTGCTGCCTTTGCCTCCTTTAGGGCTTTGTTGGGCGCATCAGAGGGCTGCCAAGGCCCCTGCAGCTCAGAGCCCGGGAGGGCAGTGGGCTGCAGGCCCACTTCCCAGCTGAGATGACTGAGGCCAGAGATGAAGGTTCTGCTTGGGGTGGGAAGGAGAGCAGGGCTGGCGACAAAGGGCTGCTCGTGGCGCCACAGCCAGGGGCCAGGGTGGCCTTGGAACCAGCGCAGCGCTTGTCCTGGTCAAATGAGGGAGACTCAGGCCCCACTCACAAAGGTCTGGAGTATGGAGGGCAGGGACAAGCTCTTCTGGGGACCCTTCCCTCCCCCTCACCTGATGGACTCCCTCTTGACCTTGGCCTCAACTTGGATGGCTTCTCTTCTTGCAAGAAGCCTGCCTGAACCTTCCAGGCTCAGTCAGGTGCCCCCCTCTGGCTCCTATGATACCCAGCTCCTCTCCTTCTCGGCCTGAGTCCTGCTGTGTTGCCACTGCTGGCCCTGCCTGGCTAAGAGCTCCTTGAGGGCAGAGAAGGACCTTATTCATCCCTACCGCCCCAATGCCCAGCATGGCCCAGAGCAGGAGGAAGCAGCAAACAGTCTCCATCCTCTCCCCTCCCCACTCCAATCTGGGTGCCCGGGGCATTGGGCCCCTGTGGTATTTGGAGACCTTGGGCAGGTTATGTGGCCTCAGTTTCCGGAGGTGCCCATTATAGCAGAGAGAGGAGAAGGTCCTGTCTCGGCAGTTGAAGGTGGCAAACGGAAAACCATTTTGTCAAGACCCCAGACCGCCTGGGCTCAACTCCTGCTCCTTCTGTGCCTGAGCCAGTGGCTCTGGCGAGTTACTTAACCTCCCTGTGCCTCACTGTTCAAATCTATAAAATGGGATAATGATGGTACCTACCTCGAAGGGTTGTTGGAAAGATTAAATGAGTAAATATGGGCAAAGCACTTGGAGCAGTGGGTGGCACCTGGTAACTCCTGTGTGTTTGCTGACATCCAGTCAAATTCAAGCAGCATATTCCTGGGTTTGTTTGTTTGTTTTGTCACTGATGATGTTAACCTAGTTATGGTGGTGTTTGCCAGGTTTCTCTACTGTAAACATTTTTTTCTTTTTCTTTCTTTTTTTTTTTAAACCCTTTTTATACTTCCTTTCTTTGGAGGGTTTCACTAGGTCCAGTCCACACTCAGAGAAGTGGGGGACTAAGCTCCACCTCCTGGAGGGGGAAAACCTACATGAATTATTTGAAATTCTTCTGTAAGGGAGATGTGTCTAGTCTCCCCCATTTATTTATTTCTTCAATCATTATATCAGTACAGACTCATGGATATTTATTTTATACTTTGGATGATAATCTAATTCTGTTATTTGCTCCGTTGCTCATCCTGGTTTAGGTTTGGCCATTGGGATCTCTTTCAGGTTGGCTCCTGTTCTGATATCCCACCACCTGTTTATTTTTTGAGCCTTTCCCTACTCTCTAGCACTGCAAGATGCTCCAGGCTCATCTTGCATTTTTCCCTGCCTCAGCCCTGGAATCAGTCATTTCTCTAAGGAGCTCTGATTCCTTTTATTAGAGAGGGGTGTTTAGGAACCAAGATCTGGGGGCTGGACGTGCTTATTGCTACCAGGATGTCACAGCTTCTAGGCCCTTTAGAGGGGAGAACTGGGTCTGCCTTCACTTAAAAAATTAAGTTTCCCCTCTTGCCAATCGTGGGGTCTGTTGGAGGCTCCAGACGGCTGCCCACTGGCCTTTGACCCAGTCTGTAGGCCACAGGCCTGTGCAATGTCATAGGCCCTTAGTAGGCCTTACGTCCACCGTGAGAGAGTGAGCGAGGGAACACAGGCCGCCACCTCCGCAGCACGCTGAGCCACCTCTCGTGTCCACTGGTGCTCACCAGTGGGGCCATTGGGTGGCTGAGTCGCTTTGGGAATGGGACCGAGCCTGTTCTCAGGTGCCCTCATAGCCCAGACCACTGGGGGATCATAGACTTGCTCCTTGCTGGACGAACAGCTTTGTCAACAGTGGTGGCAGTTGCCACAGCCCAGCAACAGAGCCACGGTGGGCACCTGGGGCATGACAGGCAAGGGTCAGGTCCCAGGAAGGCCTGACTCAGCCACCATGCCCAGCACACCCAGGTGGCCCAGTGCTAATGGGAGAAAGGTCTGGTGAGCTGGTCCCTGTCCTCTCTTACCTTTTCCAACCCCAGCCCTGCCCAACACTTCAGGAAACACTGATGCTCAGTGGGCCAGGAGCCAGAGCTCCCCATGGAGGCAGCTCTCCCGCAGCTGTAGGGATTCAGGGCAGAGTAGGCATCTTGAGGCCCCAAGGCAAGCTGAGCGCCCTCCCGAATTTGCCAGAATGTCTCCTGTCTCCCCATGGCTCTAGGCTGGGAGTCAAGAGGCCCGAGTTCTGGGCCTGCCTCTACCAGTGACTTCTGTTTGGGGCACTGTAATCACATCTCTTCCTATTTAAAATCTTGAGTGTCTCCCCATCGCCCTCAACTTAAAATCCCCACTCCTGGAACTGCCTTACAAGGCCCTGGAGATCTCTTCAGCACCCTACATCACGCCCTAATAACACCAAATTGCTTGTGGTTCCTCCTTACAACATCACTCGGTTTCCTACCTCCACAGTTTACTCTGCCTGCATCACCCTCTCCCAGTGCTTCACTGGTTAATTCCTACTTGTCCCTGAGCTCTTAGCTCTGGATCACCCGCTCCAGGAAGGCTTCCTCCTGTGCCCCAGACCACTTCTGCTCATCTGGTCCTGTCTCTGGTCACCTGTGTGTGACACCTTCCTAAGGCCCACTGTGAACAACCTCTGGCATACCGGGCAGCAACCTGGTACAGTGGAGAAGGTTTGGGGTGTAATATCCGGGCTTTGGCTTCCCTCAAAGCCTCTGTTCCTTCCTGCTGTGTGACTTCGGGCAAGTCACTGCACATCTCTGAGTCTCAGTCGCCCCTCTGTGAGAAAAGCATCTAACTGGGATTCAAGGCCCTGCTTTCAAGTCTGGTCTCTGCCTCTAACTCACTGTGTAGCCTTGGGCAAGCCCTGTCCCTGGGCCCGGCCTCAGTTTTCTTCTTCTGTAAAATGGGGCTACCCACAAAACTCGGAGTGCTAAGAATCCAACAAGCCCAAACTTGTGAAAAGTTCTGTAAACCTCAGAGCCCTACATGGATGAAGAATCTATTTCAACAACTCCGTGGAGATGTGTGGGAGGGAGGCTGATGGGCATTTTCACTGTTCTCCCCCCGCCCCACCCCCACCCCCTAAGCCCTCCAGAAGCCTTGAGATCAAAGGTGACAGAGGCCTGTTGGCATGGAAGCCAGACTCGGCAGGGCCCGCTCCCTGGCCCTCCGCCCACCTTCCACCCACCCCATTCCCAGGGTTACATGACATGCGTGCCTTGCGTAAGAAGCTGTGTTTAAACACTCTGGGTGGGGTGAGCCCTCCCCCACGCACTGCTGACACAAAGCCACTCCAACTCCACTGTTTGAACAATCTGCAACTTTATTTCAGAGCAGAAATAAGTCATTTCCTAACAATAAATATAAAAAAAATAATAATAAATTAAGGTTCGAAGAAAAATACGCAACAGAACAAAATCATTAATACTGACAGAGTAGAAAATGTTGTCTAAAGGGGTGAGAGGCCGGATGGGCCAGCCCCCAGCCTGGGAATGTCTGACACAGGCCGTTGTCTGCCCCCAGTCCTAGCCGGGCCCCTGTCACACACACATTCTCTCCACAAAGTACAAAATATATATTTAAAAAAAAAAAAACCCTCCACACAACCAAGCATCCTGTGAGGGCCCCGAGGAAGCAAGTGTTTGGCCCGTGGGGGCTGAGGATGGGGCCTGGGGGGCTGAGGAAGGCACTAGAGGGACGGGAGAACCGCTGTGGGTCTTGCCCAGCTGACTTTGCTGTTTGTCCTCTTCTCGTGAGGTACCCTGCTCCTGTGACTGCTGCAGGCTGACCGCCCCACCTCCTGAGACGGCGAAGGGGAGGTCAGTTTAGCAATGTCGCACGTGTGTGTCCAAAGGCCTTGGCGGGGCTCCTGCCCCAGGGGATGCTGGGAACACGATGGTGACTGCTAAGTGCTTGGCTGTCTGTCCTTTGTAGGTGAAGAGGCCCCCCTGCCCAAGGTCCCTGAGCATCTCCTCAGCTCAGGCCAAGGTATCGTCCAAGACCCCCCAGCAGAGCCCTCAGGGTGGCATCAGTAAAGAAGGACTAGAAATAAATAAGGTCCCTGGTGGCCCAGCATGGAGCTGGCAGGAAAGCCAGTCTGTTTCTTCAAGTATTCTTAGCTGAGGGGGTCACGAGGTCTGTCAGGGCTCAGATGGGGATCCCCACTGTGTTCACCTGGTCCTTGAGGCCCAGCAGGCTGTAGGCAATGCGCTTCTGGTGGCCGGGCAGCCGCACCCCAATCCTCTTGATGTCGCTGTGAGGGGGAGGGAGAGAGGGAGAGTGAGGGGCCTGCCCTGGAGAGGTGGGCAGCCATGGCAGGGAGGTGAGGGGAGAGAGGAGGGACCGGGGAGGGGGCCTCGGTGCCTGGGGGGCAGAGCTCGTAAGGCAGAGGTCTGATGAGTGGAAGCATATCCGGAAAGCCTGCCGACACCGACAAAATTCACAAAATGATTGAAGCGCTGAATGCGAGCAGCTTTGTTTTTTTTTAAATCAAATCTGCACAAAATCTATGGTAGGTGCTGTTTTTGCCCCCATTTTGCAGACTAGAAAACTGAGGCTCAAAGAGGTGAAGTGACTTGCCCAAAGTGACCCAGGCTAAGAGGTGGAGGAGCTGAATCAAGCCAGCTGTGAACAAAGGCTTCCCTCCCCCACCCTGGGGTCTGTCCCCAGGTAAGGCTCCTCCCCAGGCAGCACTGATGCCATCACCAGATGCCAGGGACCCTCTGGGGGTGTCGCGCAAAGCTCTCTGCCCAAGGTCTCGTCACAGCCATCGCCTTATTTCACCTCCACTCCCTCCAAGTTCTCGTAACGGAGGAAGGACTCAGGAGATCCTTGCTGAGGGGCCATCAGAGGTTAAAGTCCTGCTGGTCTCTAATGGGAGGGGCTTTCAGGTGACCAGATCCAGTGACTAGGTTACCCTGAGGTAGGGGTTTTCCCTTTAGGGACCTCAATTTCCTCACCTGTAAAATGGGATAACAGTGCCTAACTGGAGAGTGGGAGATCCCGGATACTGGTGGCAGAGGGGTAAGGTGGCATTAGTACCAGATAGAAAGACGCGCCCAGGAGCCCATAGCCCTTCCCTGCCCCTCCTTTCCATGCTCCTCCATCCCCTTGTAAAACCACTTACACTCCAAGAGCCCTGGAGTAGACCTTACTGCTTACTCTGGGAGTTTCCTCCTTCACCATCCTCGTCCACCAGCCCAAACCCATGAAAACACCCAGGTTTTTACGGGCCCTCTCCTGGCTGTAAAGGGAGCTAACTATACGGTGCAAGCTCCTATTTGCAGTTCCAGAGACATGACTTTCAGGTGTGTGGGAGGGCGGCTCAGGGACTGAAGCAGGAAGGCCAGGAGTCAGACATCTGGGAGAACTTCCTAACCTAACACTCTAGCGCCATTTCTAACCTATACAGTTGAGGGTGTTGGAAAAGAAGCACTGTTTTCCCCATACCTGTAGGTCTAAGTGTGGCTCCTGGATAAGTATTCGGACCAGCAGGGAAGGAGGCACTTACTGAAAAGGCAGGATCCTGGGCCCAACTCCAGACTCACTGACTTTGAAGTTCTGAAGGCGGGGCAGGGAGTCTGCATTTGATCAGATCCCTAAGACCCTGATGTATGGTTTAAGGACCAGTGGGTTATGTTAGCTATAGCAGAGCAACGGTAGGGCCTAGTGCCCCAGGCTCATCCCCTCACTCCCAGACCCTCCCAAGGTCCAGGATAGGCCTGGTAAACAGTAGGCCCTCAAGGAGTGTCTGCCGAATGAATGAATGAATGAATGAATGAATGCTTTAGTGGCGACTGAGCCATTGCCCAGGCTGCCTGGGGCCCCTCTCCCAGGTTGGTGAAGTTAACCTGACAGGGCGGGAGCTGAGGGTGCTTCTGAGGTCCATCTAGGAGGAGGAGTCCTGGGCTGGGAGGCAGGAGGCCGAATTCTAGTCCTGGATTCCACCAGAGCCTCGGGTGGGTCCTGTCCTGTCTTTGGGCCACAGTTTCTTTATACGTAAAATAGGAGCTCTGATTAGATGCTTCTAAGCCACCTGCCCCAGCCCCAGTCTCTTCCAACACAAAGCCCCCCAAACCTTCCCTGCCTCGTTTCCTAACTATAAACAGGGACACACACAGGATGAGGCTCCCAGACCGGCCAATGCCTGCGGCCTCTTGCAAGTCTGTTCCTGCCCCAGCCTCAGTTCCCCACTCGGAGATCCAAGGCAGTCCCTTCCTTGGATCAACTCCCATCACAGGGGTGGGGAAGCACATGACTGAGGCCACCTTCTTCCTGAGCACTCGCAAGGCCAGCCCCGGCCTCAGGGAATTCAAAGGCCACAATCTCCCCCGGTGAGCACCGACTGTGCTCTGGCCCTTGGTGCAAGGAGAGTGGAGGGAGAGGTGGCCTGATCATTCATCCTCCCAGCAAACATCCCATCAGCGCCACGCCTGGCACTCGGAGACCAGAAGACCCATCCGCCAGTGTCCCCACGCCCTCTCAGGACGCCGTATGCCACAGCCTCGCACACTGGATGGGCCTTTTGCTGGACTGGGTATTTTTCTGGGGTGTGACATCCACTGCTTTCATTAGCTCCTCGAAACACATTTAGAGCCACTCACTACTCCGGCTAGAAACTCAAGTGAGTCCAAAATAACACGGTGAATGCTCAAGACGAGAAAAGGTGGCCACTGTGGGACCACAGGGAACCAAGCGGCCGGCCCCCTGGGAGGGGCCAAAGGAAGCAGGGAGGCAAAGGCGGGGTAAAGGCATTGAAGCCGAAATCCAGACCCCATCCCAGAAGGGCTGAATTCTGAGAGCAGCTCAGAGCCTCGCACTGGGATCCACAGCATGTGTAGACAGAGCTTTCGGGGTGAAAAAGCACTTTGAGACCCCCCTTTCTTTCATTTAATTGAAGTAACGAAGGAGGCAGTGGTGTGAGTCACACAGGCCCCAGATCTGAGCACCAGTGGAGCTGATGGGAGGAGAAGCAGCGTGGAATGACTTCCTGCCTTTATGCAGGCCTTTTCAAAACACAGCACACACACCCTCCACCGATCCAAGACAGCCCCGTCCCTGCTCCTTCCTGCTCGTGGGAAAGGAATTGGCCGAGGAGCACCCCGGGCTATTTCGGGAAGCTTCTACGAACATGTGTTTCCTGTATGCACTTCTCCGTGCCCTCAGCTCTGCTCACCCAGAAGAGAAGCTGTACTGTCCTCAGTGGGAGCTCCTGGAGGGGCAAAGGGGGCCGTTCCAGGTTCCCAGGTTAGAGGAGGGAGCCGAGGAACCCTGGTATTTGCCCGCAGGCTATGGGTGGAAAGCAAGGGCATGGAGGAAAAGGGAAGAGCGACATGGGTTAAGCCCTCACTGCGTACCAGGCATATCATCTGTATTGCACCCATGCAATCCCCACAACGGGGAAACAGAAACCAAGGTTCAAAGATGGAACCTAATTTGACCAAAACCACCGGATAGGGAGTGGCCAGTGTGGGCTCGAACCCAGGTGTGACTGCAGAGCCCAAGCTTTGGACCCTGCAGTTGGCTGGAAACAAAAGATATCCTGTGGCCCGTCTCTTCTCTCCACATTTCCGTGCCGCCCTCTGGTCAGCTCTGTCCCTGCCTGACTTTCATCCCAGTCTTCCCCTGGGACAGGCCGGGGCCTAGTCTGAGAGGCCTTGAGCAACAGGTCAGAAGCCCAGTTGAGCAGTTTTCAGAGGCCTTGGAGAATGTTCAGACACAGGTCCAAATCCCAGAACTGTGACCCAGAACTGTGGGACGCCTGGGTCATCCCTTCCCATGTGATTCCCAAAACCTCTCAGCCCCAAGGCTCATTCCCACCATGACCTTGGACCTTACACAAGCTGGGCTATTGGGAACTAACAGTATTTTTAGAAGCACAAAAAGCTAAGAGGGTAATGTCTTCTCCCTCCTGGGGTGGGAGGAGGTGTCCATGCCAAGTCCATGCCGGGAAGGGTCCCCCATGCTGGAGCTGGGAGGAGAGAAGAGCTCCCATAGGGCAGCCTGACAAAAGGCAGAACCCAGGGCCAGGGAAAGGGGTAACTGCCACTTCTTGCCAAGCTGGACCGCAGAGCTGAGAGTCAACCACACGGGGAGAGGTGCCTGGGATGGGCTGGCCTGGTGCCCTCTCTCCTCGGCATCAGCCAGGGAAGTCCAAGGGCTCTGCCCATTTCTTCTCAGCGTCCTGGAGAGGAACGCTGCCCCTAACTGGCTGCGTGACCTCGGGCAACCTATGTAACCTCTCAGCCTCAGCTTTCCTACTTAAATAGGGAAGTAATAATAGCATCTATTCACAAGGCAAATAGGGAATTCAACCAGGTGATGGCTGTGAAGTGAAGCCTTTCTTTTCTCAGCTACAAATTGTGTGACCTGGAGTAAGCTGTGTAACCTCTCTGAGCCTCAGTTTCTCCACTAATGACCTCCATGGTCCCTGAGCTCTGGATCCTGACTGACCAGGGCTGGAATCCCCCAAATGGCCATGGACCCTGGGCTGTACTGTTTCTGACCTGCCCAGTGGGACTACTGACGGGAACCACCTGCCAAGTTATCATGAGGGCTGATTCAAAGTGCTCAGGCACAGAGCTGGCACAGCTCACGATAAATGCTATGGTTATGATCACAATTACTATTATTTTCTCACTGTGGAAAAAAGATGTAGGAAGAGGACGGAGCCACGAGTAAGTGACCAGAATTGCTGGCTGCCAGCCTGGTTCTGCCCTTCCTGCAAAGCTACCCTCCCCAAAAGAGAAGGAGAGAGAAAGAGAAGAGAGGGGAGCGTTGGGAAGGTAGAGAGAAGAGCAGATGGCTGGTGGAGCCAGAGGCAGCCTGGGGAGGCGGGAGGCGGGAGAGGGCAGGCACGGGCGGGGCCGAGCGCAGACTCACTCGTTGGTCATCTGCACCACCTTCTCGATGGCCGTGTAGCCGGCCGCCAGGAAGTGCTCAGTGTACTGCTGCATCTTGATGGATTCCAGCCACTCGGACACCGTGCGGAAGGGCACACCCTCTGAGCCGCTGGTGCTGGGCAGCCGGATGGACACCCTGCAACAGGAGATACCGGCCCGCGAGTGAGGGGCTGCAGGGTCCAGCCCACGATGCTGCTCCCTAACCCCAGCAATTCACTCAGCTGCCCTGCGCCTCGGTTCCCTCATCTGGACAACGGGGCAGCCACGTCAGGTAGGCTTCCGGGAGTCTGCCTGATGTGTCGGGAGCAGTCAGTGTTTATAGCTCCTGCCACCCCCCTGCTTCTACTGATGATACCACCACCGGTTACTACAAAATAACCAAATGTTAAGAGAGTCAGGTTTTCAGAGTCACAGTCCCAGCCTGGCCACTTGCCAGCACGTAAGACACTTAATTGCCCTACGTCTGTTTCCTCATCTACAAAAGGGGGATGATTACAGGACCCAACTCCTAAGTTGTTTAAATGAGTTGAAACTCGTTAAGCGCTGAGTGCCGCGCTGGCACATTTACTGTATGTGCTGATTGGTTCCGTTAGTGCCTCCTGAGCCAACCCGGTCCAGTCTGAGTAAAGCCCACGCGTAACTTCTGAGCCCCTTGCCCACCGCCCCTGGCTGCCCGTTACGCTGAAGTGGCTCAGGAGTAAAACTGGGGGCCCCCTGGACAGAGGGTATGGAACCCACCGGGGGTCGAAGTCAGCCAGGGTCTTGAGGGATTCGGGGGCTCGGATGAGCTTGTCCAAGATGCTGACAATGTCGGCGAACTTGGGGCGGCGGGCGCGCTCCTGCTGCCAGCACTGCATCATGAGCTGGTAGATGGCGGAGGGGCAGTCCATGGGTGTGGGAAGCCGGAAGCCGTCATTAATGGCCTTCATCACCTGGGGGAGGGGGCGAGCAGGATGCTCAGGGGTGCCTTCACAGCCCCCAAACTCCCCCATACACAGGGGCTGCTAGAGGAGAGAAGGGGAGCCCCCTGAAACAGAAGGGTTGGCCTCCTTCCTTAGGCACGACACACAACCTTCAGCGCTACACAAAGGACAGGTGCTAAGAGGATGTCTCCAGAGGAGGGAGGGTCTCCTGACTTTGTTCCCTCACAGGGTACCCCGGGCAGCAGCCTTGCTGTGTGCCCTGCAGCCAGCCTCCCCGCGGTCTCTGGGCACCTATACACTCTGCTCCCTCACAGGGTACCCTGGGCAGCAGCCATGCTGTGTGCCCTGCAGCAGCCTCCCCGCGGTCTCTGGGCACCTATACACTCTGCTCCCTCACAGGGTACCCTGGGCAGCAGCCATGCTGTGTGCCCTGCAGCAGCCTCCCCGCGGTCTCTGGGCGCCTATACTCTCTGCTCCCTTCGGCCAGAGCACTCTTCCCTCCGTGTTCTCACCTGGCTTCTGCTGCTTTATTGTGCCTTAGTCCTAGCTGAGACGTGACCTCCTCTGGGAAGCCTTCCAGGCCTCTAGGCTGCATGAGGCACCAGGCACTTGCACACACACACACACACACACACAGATACACACATGCGTGCACGCACACACTTCCCCCACACCCACTACTTCTTTCCTCGTCCTTCTGCTGAGTGTAAGCAGGGACTGGGTCTGGAGCTCAGCACAAGGCCTGACACATGGTAGGTCCTCAAGAAACATTCACTGAACAAACCAATGAAGGGGTGTACCAGATGAAGATTAGCCCCCAAAACTCTTCTCTGCCCAGCCCCTGGGGTTCGAGGATGAGTAAAGGGTTTCAGTTCAGATCCGGATGGGGCTGGGCAGGGCGAGGGGGCCTACCTCGTGGTTCGACAGCTCCCAGTAGGGCCGCTCGCCGTACGTCATCACTTCCCACATGACGATGCCATAGCTCCACACGTCGCTGGCGGAGGTGAACTTGCGGTAGGAGATGGCCTCCGGAGCCGTCCAGCGGATCGGGATCTTGCCACCCTGTGGGGACCTGGCCAATCACTATTGTCCCCTAGGCCACCCCCAGGACGATCGCAGTCAGGGCCCTTCCTCCATGCTCCCCAGAGGTGTTCTTGCCACCTGAGGCCCACGCCCCAGGTGGGCAGGGGAGAGGACCCCGGAGCAGAGCGAGGGCTGCTTCACCTCATTGAGGCCCCCATCCCAGGTGACAGCCGCCCCAGCCCTTACACTGGTGGTGTAGGTGGCCTCGGGGTCGTCCTCCAGCACACGGGACAGGCCGAAGTCAGACACCTTGCAGACCAGGTTGCTGTTGACGAGGATGTTGCGGGCAGCCAGGTCGCGGTGGACGTAGTTCATGTTGGCCAGGTACTTCATGCCGGCCGCGATGCCCCGCAGCATGCCCACCAGCTGCAGCACGCTGAACTCGCCATCCTTCTCCTGCCAGAGCACAGGCCCTCAGCTGCCAGCCAGCCAGCCCCGCGCCCACCAGGGCCCCTAAGCGCCAGCCACAGATCCCGCCCCGCCCCGGCCCACGTCCTTACCCGAAGGAACTTGTCCAGAGCCCCGTTCTCCATGTATTCGGCGATGATCATCATGGGCTTGTCTGCAGGGGTGAGCACAGGTGTGAGGGGATGGCCACAGGTGGAGGGAAGAGGCGCAGGCGGGGCGGGGCTGGGCACAGCTCTGAACAGAGACCCTATTAGAGGCCCCGTGGGCAGCCCCTCCCCCACCCCCCACGTGGGTCTCCCACAGCCCACTCTGAAGCCGGGCCTCACATTTGGAGACAACGCCCTCCAGGCGGATGATGTTGTGGTGGCTGAACTGGCCCATGATGCTGGCCTCGCTGAGAAAGTCCACCCGCTGCTTCTCTGTGTAGCCGGCTTTCAGCGTCTTGATGGCCACGGGGACCTCCTTCTTGCCCGACACCTTCAACGTGCCCTTGTACACCTCCCCAAACTCTCCTGCAGGCAGGCGATGTGGGAGACATCCCAGTCAGCCCGGGCGTCGGCTGCTCCCAACCCGTACCAGGCCCCTCGGCGAGCGCTTAACCTCACCTGCCCCGATCACCTTCTGCCGCGTGACACTGGACGGATGGATCTCGGTGGTGAACTTGAGCACAGCCTTGTTGGGGTCCTCGTATGTGTGTGGGTCCACGTATGTCTTCAGGGGCTTCAGTTGTTCTGGGAGGGGAAGGAAGGGCAGGGTCACAGACAGTCTGGGGAGGGGAGGGGTCCCTACGAGGGGCTGCCTTGGGGGAGGGGGAGGGGGAGTAGGCAACAGTCCGGGCACCTCAGGAGCCTCTGGCTCAGCCCTCTGAGCTGCCCAAGGACGCCCGGGGAGTGCTCTGGCTGCCCCCATCTCTACCACAGAGCCGGGGAGGCCCGTGGGGACAGCAGGCCAGGCATGGAGGCGGCGCTGCATCTCACCTGACTTGGAGAAGTAAACGTCTTCCGAGGACTGGCGTGTCCGCAGGCTCTTCCTCCTGAGAGACCCCATGGGAAACCAAACACGCAGGGAGTCAGTGACCTGCCCCAGCCGGGGAGCCTCCTGACCCTACTCTGGTCCAGGTTGCGGGCCTGGTGCGCTCAACACTCTGCTCAGTCAGGCAGAGGGCATGGAAAAGGCCGGGGGAGAGGAAATGAGCAAGCCGGGCTCACTCCTTGGGATCTACACCCCGTAATGGCCCCTTAAGTGGCTGTAATGAAGGCTCTCCTCATTAGAGCTCCCCAGAGCTTCCTGCCCGCGTGTCCCGAGGAAGTGTGGACGCACTGTCATAATGACCACCATGCCCTGAGCCTCGCAGGTGCTGTGCTGAGCCCTTGACAGATCATTACATCTTTACAGCCCCCCGGGAGGCAGGGACTAGATTCCTATCAGCCCCAGTTTCCATACAGGAAGCTGAGGTTCCTGCCCCTGTGTCCCACCTAAGCCCCCAGGGCATAGGCTCCAACGAACCTGCGGTGGATGAAGAAGCCAATTCCTGCCAGCACCAGAAGCAAGACCACACCAACGGCCAAACCACCAATCACTGCCATGTTGCTAGATCCTTCCACGGCTGCCAGGGAGAGACCAGCAGGTGACAAGGGAGCCCCCCCCCTTCAAATCATGGTAATACCCCCGGTTGTACTTTAGGGTCCCAAGACACCTGCCAGGTGCCTTTACTAGTGACGGTCCATGAGGATATTTATTCCCATTTCACAGATGGCAAACGAGAGGGCTTCCCCAGGGAATAGAGCAGGTAGTCTCAGGTGTGTGGGACTCTCTCCGCGATGCAGGATTTGAACTGGGCCCGCCAATGCCACAGCCCACATCCTTCCTTCTCACAACACTGCCCTGGGTACACAGCTGGTTCCCACACCCCCAGCCTTCAATTCTGCCTTCAAAGTCCCCACACTGGACTGACCCACACTGGACTGTCCTAGGCCCTGGCCGACCAGGAAGGGGACACTTCTAAGTTCTTTGCTCCATTCCCTCCGCCCACAATGTCCCAGTTGTTTCAGGACTCTGGCCTGGCCCACACCCTGGTCCCTGACTCACACAGTGTCTGGAACTCGTGCACCTTGCTGCCAGCACCCTGGCCCTCCTGCGTCAGCGCCTGCACCTGGACCAGGTAGATGGTGTCCGGAGCCAGGTCATCCAGGGTCACGGAGAAGCCTTCAGTGCGGCGTACGTTGTAGCTGTTGGAGTCCCCCTGTGGGTGTTTGGCGGGTGGAGGGACAGACAGTGAGGGCAGGGCCATCAGCTTAGCCCACCAGGGAGCAGCCCCAGCTTAGCAAGGTGACAAGCTATGTTAGCAACCTCGATGCTCACCTTACAGAGGAGGAAGCTGAGGCTCAGAGAAGTGAAGCGACTCACTCCAGGTCATAACCAGCAAATGCGTGACCCAGGACTCAAACCCGGTCTGTCTGATCCCCAAGACCTGGTTCCCCACCACCCAAGACTATCTCTTCTGGGGATTCCAGAACACTATGTCTTCTTTCCCACAAATCTCTGCTGGGCTGGCCTGGGAGAGGCAACTCTCAGGAAGACCCCAGGCCCCACTTTCCTCATCTGCAGGACAGCGCTTCTTCAGATGGCTGTGTTGTGCAGTGAGTGTCTATGTGACTAGCTGGTCCTCTGTTCGAAGCCCAGCGGGGATAGCCCCAACCCTTTGAGAGTTACCTTCTTGCGGTAGGTGACCTCGTACTTCCACACGCGGCTCTGCTGCGGTGGAGGAATGCTCCAGGAGACGCTCAGCGAGGTGGTGCTGCGATCCTCCAGCTTCACCTTGGGGGGCTCTGGGCAGGACGGTGGGGGGAGGGGAGGGGTGTGAAAAGCCACACGGGGGAAGGGGAGTAGTGGGGATGCACCCAGACGCATTCCCATCCACAGCCCAGGCTCCTTAGATCCCGACCTGGGATTCTCAACTTCCAGCTCCAGAGCACAAAGTCCCAGGCTGGGCCCCACCACAGGCTGGCACATCGGGGGTACGCTGTGAGTACTTATGAGTGCATAAATAATAAAACCAAAACAATATCTGACTCTTGCTATAACCTCTTTATGGACCAGGCACTGTTCTAAGAGCCTTATATACAAGAGTTTATTAAATCCTCTCAAAAGCCCTAGAACGCCCATTTTACAGGTGAGGAAACTGGGGCTCAGAGAGGTTAAGTAACCTGCCCACCGTCACAGAGCTTGGAAGTGATTACAGGGACTGTGTCTTTATCCACTTGCTGCTGTCTCTCTCTGAACCCAGCCGAACCCTGAGTGGCCATCCTCATGAAGCCCCACCTGGGCGGGCCCCAAGGGCACAGCTGCCACCCCTGGGCCCTCACCTGTCTGGTTGATGCTGACGCTGGCAGTGAGGAAGCTGCGGCTGGTCACCAGGTCTGAGACGCCGTTGCGGGCCTCTACGGTGAAGGTGTAGTTCATATGGGGCTCCAGGTCGCTGACTGTCACGCTGGTGCGGGTCAGCCCGTGCGGTGGCTCCGAGTAGCGCACGCTGGCCTCGCAGGGACCGCACTCGCCTGACTCGGGCCAGCACTGCTCGCAGGTGACACTGTAGGTGATGTCCTCGCGGCCCCCGTTGTCCAGGGGGGGCGTCCAGCGCAGCTCCACTTTGGCGCCCATGCCCACAGCCGTGAGGTAGTGCGGGGCAGAGGGCGGGCCTGTGCAGAGGGCAGAGGGCAGAGCTCGGATCCAGGTAGGTCTGGACATGTCAACATCACCACGCCCAGCTCTGTCACCCCTCCCTGACCCGCTGTGAGACTCACGCGTGCAGAGCAGTGAAAGTGGGTCCTGTGGGGCCCGGAAATAGCCTTCCTCACACTCGCAGGCGGTGGCCCCCTCGGAGGACGGCAGGGTGTGTGGGGGGCACTCCAGACAGGGGCTCTCGGATGCCTCGGACTTGAAGAATCCCGGCGAGCAGGCTGGCAGGCACAGGGACAGACATCAGCTCAGCCTGTTCTCACCCCGAGCGACTTTTCCCTCCCTGGCCTTGGGACCCCTGGCAAGTCACTAAACCTCTATGGGCCTGTTTTGTCATTGGTAAAATGTCTTGTGATGAGAAAATGCGTGGTAAGCACCTAGCTCGGGCCAGACACCCAGGAAGTGCCTTGCCCTCCTGCTCCAAAGCTTTGCAGCCCTCCCCAGTGGCTCTTGCAAGAAGCACCATGCCCCTGAGCCTGGCATTCAAGGCCCGCATCTCACCTTCCAGCTTCCTAAGAATCCTATCTCACAGCTGGCTCAGCCTTGGACAGCGCATGCTGCCCACCTGGAGATATCCTTTAATCCGTGCGGACCAGCCTGGCAGGTCCCCACCTGGACTGAGAGCTGCCCAGGGCAGTGACTGCTTCTTCTTCGCCATTTGTGTTTGCTGACTCACAGATCAGACGGGGGCATCAGGATGCTACCTCTGCAGGTGCGCCCCCCGCCCTGGGACCCGACCGCTTTCCTGTTCCGGGGCTGGCTGACCAGGAAGCAGGAAAGGCCAGGCCCCTGGCATTTTCTCTGGACCTGCTTTCAGGGACCCAGTCATTTCCGCCACTCACAAGGGCGGCCAGAAAGCAGCTCTCCCTCCCCCGGTGGCAGGTCCTGTCCTGGCCAAGCCGGGGGAGCTCAGACACCTGACTCCAGAGGCTCCTTCCTCCCACCACCCTATCCTGCCCCTGCCTGCCCCTGCCCCAAGCCCTTTCCTGGTCCCACAGACAGGAAGCTACCCAGACACTGTGCAGGGCTGTCCAGGGATTGCGCAGCTGCTGAAGTGGCCAAGGTGGGGTGGGGTCACCCAGGGACCTCTTACCCAACCCTACAGTTATCGTTCCCGCCCTCAGCTTACTCTGGAGAGGGTCCTGAGATACCTCCAGCCTCCAGCGTCATGTTCATCAAACACTGATCCTCAACTCTGCGTGCAGCCCAGTGCATGGACCTCGAGATGAGACAAAGCCCCTGACCTCTGGGAGCTAGAGCACGTGACAATGTCCACCATACAGGGGTGGGTAGCAAGGACCTACTGCACAGCACAGGGAACTCTGCTCGATGTTATGTGGCAGCCTGGATGGGAGGGGAGTCTGGGGGAGAATGGATACACGTATACGTGTGGCTGAGTTGCTTTGCTGTGCACCTGGAAACTATCACAACATTGTTAACAGGCTATACTCCGATATAAAATAAAAAGTTAAAATAAATAAATAAATAAAGGGGTGGGCAAAGGGCTAAGGGGGTAGAGACAAGCTTGGCTGGAGGTTTGTGGAGTCATAGAGGAGATATTTCAGCTGGGGTTTAGAGGCTGAGTAGGAGTTCAGCAGGGCAGAAATACTGGGAGGAGGAGTTAGGGGTGAGAAACAGCAAGGCTAACACAGGAAGTATGAGTGCCTTTGTGGTCGGAAATCAGGGAAGCAGCAGGCAATGAGGCTGAGTGATCTCCAGGGACCAGATTGAGAAAGGCCTTTAATGCCAGGTCAAGGACTTTATCCTGGGGGCAGTGAGAGCCATTGAAGGTTTGATGTAGAGAATAATGGCACAGTCAGATCTACGTTATCAAGAAAAATCTGTGGACAGTCTCCCTCCTTTAGTCCTCTATGCGAGCAGAGAGAGGTGGGGAGTCAAGGGACAGGACTCAAAGGACACCCAGTTCCTAAGGTCTTGGATAGTGACTTCCCGTTAATGACTGCTTGCTGGAGGCCCCAGGGGGACCATCCCAGAAGTCTCTCTCACCTCCTCTGGCTGTCCTGCCACTTCAGAATGTCAGCACAGGCCCTGAAAGAGCTCAGGCACATGCTGTAGGGAAGGGGGCTTGTCCAGGACAGAAGGGACCTGGGACCCGACTTGCTCTGTGCAGAGCCTGGAGCCCCAGTTACAAACAGCCACCACTGATTCAGCAGCCGCTGTGTGCAGTTCCTGGGCTACGCACTTGACATTCATTTAGTCCTCACAATATGTCTGTTATACTAGGCACTGTTATCATTCATTCCACTTTGGAGGTGAGGAAACTGATGCTCAGAGAGGAAAAAGAACTTGGCCAAGGTCAACAAGCTCCTAAGACACGAACCCAAAACCTAAACCCAGGATGCCTGACCTCGAACCTCCCTCCTTTCTCACAAACATTTCAGTTTGGAGCAAAGAGAAATCAATGTTCTGAAACAAGCCGGAAGAGAGAGGAGAGGAGGTCCGACCTGCTTCAACAGCCAGAAAATCCCCAAACTAATTTCAGAGCAGCTGGGGGGCGGGGCGAGGGGCTGTGCCCCCTCTTAACATACGTCTTCTCATACTGGGCACATTTATGTCCTATGGGGAGAAAAGACTAGAATCAAGCCCGGGGGGTGGGTGGGGGTTTGTTGGGGCCTCCAACGCGGCCTCCTTCAAGGAAGGCCCAAAGGTCTTTCAAGTCTCCTGTTGTATTTAAGAAATCCACGTGAATTTTGCAGTCCTCCTCATAACTTATCTGTTACGATACAAAAATAGCTCTCTCCTCCCCCAAATCTTCAAGTAAAAATGAGACTTCAGAAAGCTGGGCTATGTTTATCCTGGGATCTCAATTCCCCCAAATGCCCTGACTTGTCCACCCGAGGGGCTTATACTCTGGGTAAGTGCTGGCTCCAGGTGGTCCAGGCCCCGCGGAGTAGGGGTGCTCAGGGGCCCCTAGAACACTATCGCATCTTCCCGGCTCAGGCTCTCAGGCTGGGGAGGGACCACGAGCCCCCACAAGGTTTTAGCCACCTGCAAAACCCACAATGTCCCCACTCCCCACCACGTGGTTGCTCCCCAGCCCCCAGCCCTATGCCAAGAGGCGGAAGTGGGGGAAGAGGCGGGTTCCATTCTTTGGTCCCAGAGCCCGGGGGTGGCCCGCCTGCTGCCAGCAGGAAAGAGGGAATTTGGAGAGATTTCCGCTGCGGATGTGCCAGATATTACAGTGGAGAGGCAGCACCAACAAGGCATGTACTTGCCTGACGAGAATGTGGTGCCCCCTCCTCCAACCACAGAACTTCAAGGGGCCCTGCCAGAGTGTGCCCGTGCTCAGGGGCCCCAGAGTTCATGTGTCTGACACCAGCAGGCCCCTGTGTCTTCCTGACTTTGCCTGGTTGGATTTCCTGGTGTGCAGGGCAGGCAAGTGGGGACAGGGGTCACACTTTTGGTGTTCACACATTCTCAAACATACTCTCATACACGAACTACCCATGGTCCCTTCGCCAACCAGCAAACTCCTATGCATCCTTCAATACCCAGCTTGAGCTCTTCTACACAGCCCTCCCAGACTGCCCAATTTCTGGTCCCCTTCTGACCATTAGGGCATCTATTACTCACTCTTATGTTTACCAAATAGAAATTGAGCATTTCCTACGTGTCTGGCACAGTGCTGGGTGCTGGGAGACCATGGCAAGATAAACACTGTTTCTGCTCCAGGGGAATTCACAGCCTGGCTTTCATGCTCCACTGGAAATGATTTCTGCACATATTAGGATCCTCTATGAGACTGGCAGCTCGTGGGGAGCAAGAATTATCTGTGTCCCGTGTCCCAGCACAGGGTCTGGCATGCAGTAGGTGCTCAGCTAGTGTTTGCTGACTGGATGGATGAATGAATATGTGAGTAAAGACAAAACCCACGTGCTCATTAAACACGAGCTCTAGGGCCACAGAAAACAGCGGCGTTTCAGTCCCCAGGGAGACCCTACGGGGACAGTGCACCGGGACACCACCTGCCTGGCACCGGAGGCTGACTCTGACACATCTGTGGAGAACTCCTCTGACCCCGGTCGCCTGGCAGGCCCGGGGCCACTCCGAGCAGGGGAACTAACTGGGGCATGGTGGCTGCACCCAGGGCTGCACCCCAGCTTTTCCAGTTCCCGATGCCCGCCCCTCAGATGGCAGCATGGGGTGTGACTCAGGGACATACACCCTCTGGCATGACGCAAATCCAGCCCCTGGCAGAGCCCCTCCCCCAAGGCCCAACAATCTCCCGGGCTGGTGGTGGTGGCGAGGTCACAGGGTCAATCACAGGGTCAAGAGGTCGCAGTGACAATTCCCTGCAGCCAGTCACCTCCCCAAGCCATGCCCAGCTGACGACCACGTGCACCCCCTCAGTCCAAGGATGCGAAGCCTGGACTTTGTCTGGTGCCCTGACGGGCAGCAAACGGCGACCCCGTAAGTTACTGACCCTGCAAATGAGGGGAACTGATAACTCCAGACCCCGGCAGCTTCTCAGTCCCCAGCAGGCCCTGTCGCCCCCGTGGAAGCAGTTGTCCCGGTGGCCCAGTTGCTGCTAGCACCTTGCCCTTTTCCCACACACCCTGGGGAATTATCTGTACGCATTCCTCCACCAAGCTGTGATAAGCACAGCCTCTGCTTCCTGCTGTCTCCCTACCACCAGCCTTTTATCTTCTGTTTGCTTTCCCTGCCTCCTTCCTTCCGTTCTGGGGACTCACTCACCTCAGCGAGGGAGGGAGGGGCCGCCCCATGGAGCTGCCAGCGTCTGAATTTGCCCCCAGTGTGAGCTGAGGGCAGGGTGAGCAGGGCACAGAGGTGGGAGCTGCCACCCCCAACCCCCCATTCAGGCCAGAGGAAACTCCACAGAAATAAGGCCCGGTGGCACTCCCCAGGGAGGGGACAAGCCCAAGAGTCACAGCGCACAGAGTTCCCCACCTGGGGATCAGCCCTGTCCCGACTGCCAACAGCCCCTGCCATGGCTCAGGGACACCCTGCCTAAGGACCACCTCAATCAGCTCCTCCCCTTCAACTCTGGACCCTGGGAGAGGCCTGGGCCACTCAGGATGCCAGCACTAGGACCCGGCTCCTTGCACACATTGTGAGGTCACCCAGTCTGCAGCTTGCCAGAGCAACCCAGGTTCTCAAAAGGAACCACGGCAGAAAGTCACAGGAGGTAGGCTCTGACCGCTAAGTCAGCAAGGCTCCAACCTACCCATTTTACAGGTGGGGAGAATGAGGCCCAGAGGGGACTCACCAAGGTCACACAGCTTGTGGGTAGAAAGGTATATGCCAGGGGTACTTGGGGACAGCCCTCCCCATGCCAGGCCCCAGCTCTTTTGGTCATTGTTTCCTCTTTCTGGGCCTCAGTTTCCTCATCTGTAAAATGAGGATAAAGTCCTCAGGTTCTCTGGGTTGTTTGTGAAGACAGAAGGAAACCTCGCTTGGGAAATGCTCAGCATGGGATGAGGTGTCCATGAACTGGGGGACAGAGAAGCTGCAGGAGCGAGGGGCTGGGCCCCTGGAGGGAGCAGCAGCCTCCAAGGAGGGAATTCCTGACCCTGCAGCCCCACCTCCAGCTCCGGCCTCCCAGCTGCTGGGCTGAGCCTCTGGCCAAAGCCGCTGGCCACCTGCTCACCTGGCCGGCAGTCCCCACGGCTGAGGCGCTCTCTGGGGCCCCACCAGCTCAGCTGCCGATGCCAGCACAGGAAGCAGAGACAAACAGGGAGACAAAGCCGCCCCGGGGGAGATGACGGTCAGCCTGAGTGACTCCACTGTCCCCTAGGCAGGCCTGGGGAGGGAGGGCGGGGAGTGGGGGAGCTGGAGGGAAGCTGGCTCATTCCTGACATAGCTCACAAGAGCTCTCTGGGCAGTGTGCCCACCTGTCCGCACAGCACCTGGGAGGTGCCTCTCTTCCGTTGTCCATTTAACTCTTTCTTGAGCTGAGAGCTTCCTGGGGAAAGAACTCTCAGGAGAAAAAAAAGCTGGGAATAACCTGGACCAGGTGCTGGGTGACCTTGGCCTGCCCAGCGCCCTCTCTGGGCTTGGTTTGTCATCAATAAAAGCCACAATGGGAGAATCTGGGTCCATGGCCCCGTGGAGGGTGAGGCGGTGGCGGGGGGGGGGCAGACCCTGCATCTCTCTCCATTTCTCCCTTAACATGCTCAGTAAGAGCCCCTCAACTACCTCACATCCTGCGCCAGGACCCACCATCCCGGGGCAGCCCTGAGAGTCTGTCCCAGGGCCAGGAGCTGAGTCAGGGATTCCAAAGGAACTGGTCATTTCCCGCCCCGTTTCCTGACCCATCCTCCAGCTTGGACGCTGCTGCATCACCTAGATTCAATCCTGATGCAACTAAATCTTAGCTGTGTGACTCCAGGCAAGTCTCTTCACCTCTCTGAGCCTCAGTTTCCTGTCTGTTAAGTGGGGCTGATAACAGTCCCTGCCTCTCACAAAAGGTGGTACAGATTCAGCAGGAACAAGATAAAGCGCTCGCCGAGCTCATGCCTGCCCTGGAAGAGCACTTTTCTTTTCTTTCTTTTTTTTTTTGAAGAGCACTTTTCTACAGGAATTACTGTTATTATCTCCACTGGCATCCCGGTCAGGGGTGCTGGGGAAGGAAGGTCTAGAGGGATAAAGAGTAGCCGGGCTGTGGGTTCCCAACCACACAGAGGGTCCCTAAACCACGTTGAAGGGAATTTTGGGAGAGGGATCCTAAGGAGGAAAAGCCAAGGCAACAGGTGGCCGGCAGTGGAGAGGGTCCCACAAGCAAAGTCAAAGATTTCGCTCCTGGAAACCAGTCCTCCCTACCCTGGGGTGGCTCAACTCTTCACAAACAAAGCCTGTGAGGCCCTGACCCCCCACTTCCTGGGGAGGGAAGCCTGCCCCCCTTCCTGGAGAGAGACACCCCTCCCCAACCTCAACTGTCCACTTATCTCTGCAGGGCCTGAATCACCAGCCTGTGGAAAGTTTTCAGCTGCCCCTCACCCCGCACCCCTGCATTCTTGTGTGAGGATGTCATGTGGGAGGAGTCTGCTCAACCCACTGGGCTCCCTCGCAACCCCCCCCAGTCATTGTCTGAAACTGGGAGTGTGCACTTGAGGTCACCTAAAGCAGGGGCCGCCTGAAGAGCAGAGGAGAGCTGGGAGGACAACAGGGTGGTGGGAAGGGCCAGAGCAGAGACTACACCACAGGCACAGAAAGGCTCTGAGGGGACATCTTATTCAGGGGTTTGCAGACTGTGTTAAGCAGGGTTCTGAGGATTATGTTTTAAGAGGCAAGTGGAGCCCATGAGAAAGGGCTTCAGGCTCCTCCAATACCTGAAACCCTTTCATGGGTTGCAGGATCCATGGCTAAAAACCAAGTATACAGTCTGCTAGTATAGTTGAACTTCTTGTCTTACGGACAAGAAGCCTGAGGCCAGAGATGAAGAGAGATTTACTGAAGGTCACTCAGTCGGTATGTATAGCTGTAGGGCCTAACCCCCCAATTTCTCAACACCCTGCTTATCTCAGCAAAGAAGCTCCCAGAGAGAGGGGATGAGCTGGCCTTCCAAAGGTCAGCCTACATCCCACAAATGCCCTGCCCCACAGCCATTTCCAGAAAAAGTCACCCATTGAAAAAATCCACGTTGCTCTAGAGCTTTCCGCTGTCACAGGTCCTGGCCGGGCCAAGCCACAGCCTCCCAGTGTGAGCTCACTAATGCCCAGGCCCTGTTCCCAGAGAGAGTCTGATTTAATTGGCCCCCTCTCTGGGCTCAATCTGTCATCAGTAGAAGCCCCGATGGGAGGATCTGAGTCTATGGCCCTGGGGAGGGTCAGGTGGGGAGGGCAGACCCTGAGTATCCCCCCCACGCAGGCATTTTTCAAAAAGCTCCCCAGGTAACTGTCATGTGCAGCCAGGGGATGCGAATCCTGGTTCAATTCACTCACCTCCGTGTACAAAAGAGGAGCCTGAGACCCAGAGAGGTTAAGTGACTTGCCTAAAGTCACAGGGAGTTAACAGAGATGGTACTAGCTCCTGGGACTGTGCTATGTGCCCACAGTGCTGGTATATAATAGATACTCAAGATATACTTGTGGAATGAATCAAAAATAACAATCACACTTAAAAACACTTATGTGTCAGACGCTGACCTAAGAACTTTACAAGTATTAAGTCATTTGATTATCATAACAACCCTACAAGATGGGCACTATGTTCATCTCCATTTTACAGATGAGGAAACCCGGGCACAGAGAGGTTAAGGAACTGGCTTAAAGTCACACAGCTAAATGTAAACCTGGGATTGGAACCCAGGTATTCTTTCCGAGAGTCTTCACTCGTAACCTCCATACTGTTTCTCAATGTATTCATTCTCGGTGAATGAGTGAATCCAATCGTAAGGCCAGGAAGCCTCCGAGATTTTCACTCACAGAACCACTGCATGTCTGAGCAGGGACCACCTTACCAAGATCCCCACATCCCAGAGCTGAGACCAGATCCTGGACCACAGCCTCCACCCCAGTACCCCCTTTCTCTGCCACCACAGCGCCGTCACTCACCCTGGCAGGCGTCCTCCACCTTCTCGTAGCCTGCTTCGCACAGGCACTGGCCAATGAGCACTAGCCACTCGCCATCCACTGCACAGTGCATGCGGGGCTCCTCACCCCCGGGCGGCACCACAGCGTGGTCCAGGCAGGTGCCATCCACGATGGCCAGGGAGGGCGCGTCGGAGCCCGCGATGGTCTCGGGGAAGCGGGCCAGCCCCTTCAGCAGCTTGGGACACTTCTTGTAGTAGACGCGGACAGAGAGCAGTGCCACGCAGGCACCAATGTCCTGAAAGGCCAGGTAGAAGCCCTTGCGGCTGAGCGGTCCCACGGAGCGTTCCTCCACGTTCAGCTTCACGTGGCGTGCTTCGAAGTCGCTGCTGACCGTGATCTCGTCGGGCGCGATGGTGTCGATCTTGGTGAACTGGCGCTTCTGGAAGTTGGTACCATAGTCCACGTCAGACTCGGCATAGTAGAGGTTGAAGGTTTCCTTGCAGGAGCTCGCGCCCCCAGGGAAGCTATTGCAGTCACGCACGGTGAACTTGAGCTCGATGAAGATGCGCTCGGCCTCACCGCGGTATACCCAGTTGGTGCGGAGCCAGTTGTCCTGGTCGCTGGCCACCACGTTGCACACGGAGTACATGTAGATGGGCATGTCGTCCATGATGTTCTGCATGAGGTCCCACTGCACGGGGCCGACAGGTTAGTGTGGGCAGGTGCCTGGGGGAAACTGAGGCCCAGAGGCATCGCCCAGGTGGCAAAGCTGGGCATCAGGAAGCTGCTCTATGGTTCCTGCTGTCCTCATTCTACAGGGAAGGAAACTGAGGCCCAGGGAGGGGCTTCAAGTCACCGTCACACACTACAAGTGGCTGAGCTGGATCTGACCCCCTGGTGTCCCCGACCCCAGTGTTGCAGTGCTGAACCCGTATACTATACAGTGAGCTGAGGGTGGAGGCTGTGTAGATGTGTGTGAGTGGCAGGGAAGAGGTTAAATCAGAATCAATGGATAATCCCCCATCACTCCTCAGAACACTGCTCAGCCTCCTCCAGGAAGACTTCCCAGGTTGGGCCAAGATTGGGGCAAGTGCTTCCCCCTGGCTCCCACAGTCTCTGTTACCTTAGCACCTAAGTGGTGACAACTACACCTGGCTCCCACACGAGATTCTGAGCTCCTTAGGGCAGAGACTGCATCTAGTTCATTTCTGTATCCCCAGGGCCTATCTGAAATGGAGTAGGTACTCAGGAAAGTATTTGTTGAATGAATGAGCAAATGAATGAAAAAACCAGAAGGGGCCAAGGAAAAAGACCCGGGCTGCATTGTGTCACACGGGCCTCAGATGCCCTTGGGCCTCAGTTTCCCACTCTATATAATGACTGGGCTGCATAAGGTGATCTGTGCTCTCTCCCAGCTGAACATTCCAGGATCTTGGAAATCCACTAGAGTTAAACTCCACGCCTCCTCGGAGCTAAGGTGACCAGGGACAAGTGCCTGACTCCGCAGATCTGGCCAGCAATAGAGACTGTCCCCAGCTATCCCCCTGGAGACACCGCTCTCCCCAGCTAAGGCCCCAGAACAAATTCAACAAGGGGAAAACTGAGGCCCAGAGAGCAGCAGTATCCTCCCCAAGGCCACACAGTCGTCACAGACAAAGCCAGGGAGAGGACCCTGGGGTCTGGCCCACCGGTCCAGGTCACAGCAGGGCAGGGCAGAGGGAGGGGAGGGAGTGAACTTGGGTGGGAAGGAGGCAAAACAAACTCAACCCCGAGCAGGAAAGGGAAACAACAGCTGGAGGAGCGGGGAGAGGGCCCGGCAGGAAGGAACCTGATCCGGTTTCCCGGGGCTGTGGGGACCTGGGAGCCCACATTCCCTGTCTCTTCCTCACCCCTCACTTCCTGGGCTGGGACCTCAAAGGCAGGGGGAGCCTTTAACCCCTTCCCACCCAAGAGGGGAATGAAGGGAGCGAGAGGGGGTCCCTTTTGACCATCAGCCTTCTGGGGCATCCAAGGGTCCTGCTCTGCTAGGGCCTTCAGCTGTCTCCCCAGCTCTTTCCACCTCTCGGGTCCCTTCCCCACCTTCCAACCCCAGCCTGCCCAGTTGGTGTGAGAAGAAGGAACCTGAGTTTGAACCCTGGCTGAGCTGTTTGATCTGGGCCAGGCCCCATCCTCCCTGGGTCTCAGCTTCCTCATGCCCACACCCGCACCCTGAAGGCTTACCCCTTTGCCATATGGGTGTGTGAGCCAGCCGAGTTCCCCTTTAGCTGCTGCAAAGTCCAACAGGACGACTGGAAGAGATGAGAGAGGGTGCTGGGTGAGCTTGGGGGTATCTTCAGGGGTCAGGCCATGGTGGAAAAGGTGAGAGTCCCCCAGGAATCCCAAGAAGCCCTGAAGGCTTCCTCAGCCCTCAGAGAGAGACCCCACCACACAGGGTCACCATGTCCAAGAGACCCATCTCTCCAGAAACAGGGAAGCAGAGCTCCAGGCAAGGGATGGGACCTAGTCAAAGTCACAGAGCAGGTTGGGTGAGGCCTCACGTCTCCCAGCCCACGCCGCCCCCTCAGCAGCCCCCAGCTGGGCAGAGCAGGACAGAGCTCGGCCCAGCAGGGGAACAACAGCTGGGTAGAGAGCTGGGGCGAGCAGGGCTATTAAGTGACACCACGCTGCCCCATCTGCTTCCTGAAACAGGGCCCCTCCGCAGCACTTCACATGCACGTGGGCCTTGGAGACACTCTTGTCCGCTCCTGCCACGTCCCCTCCATACACACACAGCACAAAACACCCTCAGCCCCACCCAGGCCACGTAGCACATGCCTATGCAGCACACGTATGTACACACATGTCTCATGGCCCTCCAAGAGGAGAGAGCTGTTCACAGGTGGGAACAGCTCCAGGGAGGGGAGCAGGATTGGTGGGGGGGTCTGGAAACCGATCTTCCCACCACAAAAGCCACAGAGCAGGCAGGATCAAGCCCTGAACCCACAGGGGCTTTTAGAAGGGACCCAAAGATACACACAGCTGGCGAGGTCCCCTCCCTGGGAAAATCGCTCCCGCTGCCCCCCGTCCCTCACACCCTGGCCACTGCCCTGCCAGGGGTGCCTAGGGGACCAGGGATGGAAACCCTTAAAGAGGACTTCCAGGCCCAGAGGGACCAGGTGCCAGGACCACACTATCCCCAGAGAGACATCTGGACACATTGCCAGGGGCTTCCCTAGATCCAGCCCCACCCCCGCTTGGGCACCTCCCATTGGTCCACCCCGGGTTCTGCCAGGCTCAGGGGCTACAGCCAAGACCCAAGACCCCAGTATGGCCCCCTCCTCCATTTCCAAGTAAGGTCCAGGTAGCTGCCAATAGAGGCTACCCTCCCTGGTGGATAATGAGATTGGAGAAACTGAGGCATGGACCCTATACAAGGTCCCTGGATTCCAAGAGTAAAGCCCTAAGGTGTGGGGGGGTAAGGGACAAGTGCTTACTTCCTCTGGAGTCTGGAGCATGAGGAATATGGCCTCAGAAGGTGCATTCCTCAAGGCCTGGGCCTGGAAGAATGACTCTAAGGGTGCAATCCCAGGCAGGCAGAGATGGGCCTGATTTAGAGAGATGGGGAGGGAGGGGGAGAGGGGCCTGAGGAGAGTCTGAGAAACCCTTTCCTGAGGACAGACTGCCCTGCTTGCCTGGGCTGGAGGCCCCCAGGCCTAGGGATGAAGCACTGCCACCTGACCGCTGCTGACCCGGGCCAAGTCTCTCTAGGAAGGGCCTCACAGCCCAGACAGGGAGAGGAAATCCGATGTGGCACCGGCCCCAAGGCTGAGGGGACAGGGGAGGGTGGCTGGGGGGTGGGTAGGGGCAGGGATTTGTTCGGACATGCCCAAGGCTCAGGCTTGGAAAACTCACTAACCCCACTAGCAAATGGAATGTCCTGGCTACACAGGAAGGAATCTGGGGGCTCCTGCTGGGTGTGTAGGGCGGACAAAGGTGAGTGTCCCTCAAGGTCCTGCACACCCCCCTTCCTTAGAGGCGTGGGAAGCTGCAGTCTGCGCCCCTGGGGAAGGGGGCTCATGGCTCCTAGGCTCTGAAGGGTTAACCTGGCACGGAGGGACCCCCACCACCCCTGCCAGAGCTCGCTCCCCTTCCAGACCCAGGCCTGGCTCTAGAAATATCACAGGGCTCATCAGAGAAGAAAAGAAGCCTTCACACAGGAAGGAGCCCCCTCCCAGGGAAATTCCCTAGAACCAATCACCAGGAACAGGCGCCCAGCCCCGGTCCCTCCACCCTGCCGCACGGGTGCGGCCTCTCCCTGAGCGGCCTCCAGGGTCTGAGGCTCCTGGAAGGGGCAGGGGCCAACAGCCCCTCGGCTGGCCCCCGAAGGCTTCACTGAGAAGACTGGGCTAAGCAGGGCTCATCCAGGAGCCCCCGTCCCTCCTCCCACCCCCAGGAAAACCTCTTTCTCAGTCTGAAGTTCCATCATAAATGTCATCCTTCTGGGTCCATATTGTTTTAGGGCTCTTTACTCAAAGGCAGTACGACCACCCACTCCCCTAGTGTCACCTCCCTGCTCCCCCCATCCCTCCTGAACCGAGACCAGCTAATTGCTAAAGAAGCAGGGAGGCGGGGGGGGGGGGGGGGGGGGGGGGGCGGGGGGGGGGGGAGGGGGAAGAATGAAGAAGAAAAAGGGAAGGGGACAGAGAGCACATTGGGCTCGTAGGGAATCCAGAAGCCAAGGACTTTCCAGGCCTCCTGAGCGCTCTCCAGCCCACCTCCCAGCTGCACCTCAAGTCAGCAAGCCCTGCACCCCTGCCCAGCTATTCTCCCTTCTCAGAAAAACCCAGCACACACCCGGGGGCGGGGGCCCTGGGCTCCGGCAGCCCAAGAAGCCACATGCTCAGACCTAACCCTCCCTATACAGAGGGCCCTAGTGAGGGAGGGCTTGGGCCTCCCTGTTTCCCCGTTTGTAAAAGGAGGACAGACTCAGTGGCTGTTGAGAATTTAACAGGCTCCATCTGGGTCTCCCAAGGCAGCCTGGCTCCTCCACTCACGGGGAAGGAGAAGGGAAGCGAAGAGCAGCTTCGCTTGAAGGGTTGAAGGGACTCGTGTCTCTGCACCCCCAACGCAGCCCCAGGCAGATCCAGCCAGAATGCCGGCAGCTGGGCCATCACTCCCCCACCCCCCCACTACGGGCACACCTCCTTAGGGAGTCCTTCACAGGGACTCTTGAAGCCTAAGGAAGAATGTTCCCCTGTCCCTTTCCTCCCCCCGTTCCATTGGGGGGGGGCACTAGTCTTCTAGGCTGGGGAGGGCTCGGCAGAGGGGCACAAGGACAAGGCTGCAGCACAACAATCGCCCAGTAGCATCCCTCCTGCCTAATCCCCCCACCCCCCATGGGCAGCCTTCAAGAAAGGCCTGTAGTGAATCCAGCTGTCTCTCCCCTTCTCTCCAACCGCAATCCCCCGGGAAGGGGGAGGACAAAAAGCTGAGGGGGGGGCGGGTATTGAGGATCACAGAAATCCCTGCCACCCACTCCTCCAGCACATTGGGACAAGAAACCCTGAGTGATTCAGGGACGGGGACAGGATGCCACCCCCGCCTCCACCCTCCAAGAGTTCCAGCTCTGGCCTCTTTGCCACCGAACTTGGAACAGCAAAACCTCCAACCCCAGTTTGGGAGGCGGAAAAGGAAGGCAAGGCTCAAGGAAACTTCTCACCGGGCCAGGGCTTCCTCCGCACTTCCCCCTGGTGGAGCCTGCGGAAACCTCCCTCGGCCCCGGCGAGCGGGCAAAACTCGTTCTCAGTCGGAAACTGAAACCGGCCTCGGCTGGATGGACAGGAAGGTCCTCGGCCAAGGGCAAGAGCCCCCATCCTCTCTGTGACCCTAGCCGAGGGGCAACGTCCCCATCCACCACCCGCCCCGCCCAGGGCAAAGTCCGCGGCCCCTCGCGCAGTACGGCAGCGGGAGCGCTGGGGCGGGGGTGGGTGATGCAGTCCCCCACCCCCGGGCGCTCGGACTCCCTGGTGACCCTGGGGTGACGGCTCCACACCTTGGGCGGCCGCGCCCCCACCTGCCGCATTTCCTCGTTCTGAGTCACCCCTTGCTCAGAACGCTTGACTTTGGGACTTCCTGTCCGCTCTCGCGGCCCCGAGCCTTGTCCCCCGAGCCTTGCCCCCCGAGCCTGGGAGTGCGGGGAGGGAAGGAGGGAAGGCTGCGCGTGGGCAAACTGGCCCGAAGCTCCCCGCAAGCTCTCCTCCCCGACTGGAGGCATAAGGGGGCGTGGAGAAAATCTCAGGGAGCTGGGGCTTCTGCAGGGGTCTGTCTCCTCGCCTGTCGAAGAGACCCCTCCCCAAAATGAGGGGCCTCCACAGAAACGCCTTTTCCACAAAATCGGCGCAAGCAGGTTAGCGAATTCACCGTGAAGCTGAGCCGACGGAAAGGCCCCCAGGTAGCCCATTCTCCAAGGGACCCCGAGCCCCCGCCGGGACGCGTTCCTGAAACCGCCACCCTGGCTGCAACCGTGTGGCCTCCCTGAGTCCCCCTTTTCTTTCTTTCTTTTCTTTTTTAAAATTCTTATTGGAGTATAGCTGCTTTACAATGTGTTAGTTTCTGCTGTACAGCAAAGTGAATCGGTTATAGGTTCATATATACCCTCTTTTTTATATTTCCTTCCATTTAGGTCATCACAGAACATTGAGTAGAGTTCCGGGTCCCCTTCTCTGCGGCCTCTGAACCCCGCGCGCCCAGGCCCCAACCTCTTAGTCCCCGGAGCCCCTATAACCCCGGGTGGGGGAGTCCCAAATTCGTCCCGATCGCAGCCAGCAAGTCCTCCCGACCTCAGCACTCCGGGACTGGGCGGCGCCAGGTCAGTTTCCAAAGTTGCGCGCGTCCAGGCGCGCCTGGCTCTGGGAGGAGCGGGGGTCCGGGGGTCCGGCCGCCGCGGCTGGGTCGGGCCGGGTGGCCGTCGGAGCGCACACTCACCTTCCTTGCCCTGCGCCGCGGCAGCCGCGGCCAGCAGGCAGCCCCACAGCAGGGCGAGGCAGGCGCGGGGTGCCAGACGCTCCATGTCGCGCTCCTTGCTCTCAGCCCGGTTCTCCGTGCCCGGCTCCCGCACGCCCGCGCGCAGGCCTCGATGTCCGGCTCCCTCCTGCCGCCTGCGCGTAACTTCTGCCCCGAGTGCTTAATGGAAGTTGAGTGAGAACCGGCTCCTGTTCATTCATGTCCCGCGCTGACGTCAGCGAAGCCACGCCCTCAGGAATGTCTTTAAAGGGGCCGGGCTGGCACCCAGCGAGAAGGGAGGGGAAGTCCCGAGGGGGTTGGAGGGGCTCTTTGGGCCCGCTGGACTCGCTGGCGCCCCCCAGGTCCTTCCAAGTTTGAGCGCCTCCAAGCGCCAGTGCAACCAGGGCTAGTCCTCGAGGATCTCTGAGCCGGGAATCCTCGGCCCAGACGTGGGGATGGTTTTGCGCTGAGCCATCCCCCACTCTCACCCTTTGCCCTCTGGAACCGAGCTCAACGTTGGCCCGGTGGCCTGAACTGAAATGGCCTGGAGGGTCAAGAAGCAGTTGCCTGCTTAGCAGCTTGCCTGGAAAGAGAGCTCCAAAATAGACCCAGATGCCCCTCTTCCTGGGATTTCTAAACTGTGCACCAAACCGTCGGAGGTCAGGGAGAGCTTCTCTGCTCAGGGGCCTCTAAGAATACAGTAATCTGAGAGCAACCTCATCTAAAAATGAGCCAGACATGCATGATCTCCTTTAATTCTCATCTGGGAGGTAGATGTCATTATCCCCATTTTACAGACGAGTAAACCGAGGCTCCAACAGCTTAAACAATATGCGCAAAGGTTGCACAGCTCAAAGGTAGTAGAGCCAGGATTTGAATCTGGGTAGTCTCTGCTTTAACCACTGCCCATATTGGGAAAGGTTGGGCAAGAGGCTGCTGGGTAGAGCACCCCTATGCCCCAACCCTGGCATGGTAGAATCAGTTGGTCTGTTTTGACACTTTGGAGGACAGGACACCTGCTTCCCACCTGCCCCTTCAAGGGGCCTCTCCCCAACGGTTCCTCAGACATGAGCTCATCTCCCCTCCTGACAGAAGTGGCTGGTGCTAGTGAAACTAACGGGAAATGTCCTCTCTCCTGCCTGCCTGGCCACCCACGGTTGCCTGTTGCCCAATTGCCATTTGGCCAGTCCAGTCCAGGAGGAGCAGCTGTAGCAAGCCTGGCTTCCTGGGAGGCTACAACCCCCTCTGCCCACCTCCTTCTCTTTCACCCCATCCTCTTCTTGACTCTCCTGGACCTGCTCACCAGACAGCCACACTGACTTACTCTGGTACCCAGGTCCTCCCTGCCAGATGTGGACATCTTGGCCCCTCGGCCTTGGCGCCAGCCCTTGGGAAGCGGGTCCAGACATCTCCCTTGGAAGGGGGTGGGAGGGTTAATTACAGGTGTTGGGATAGTATAATTAAAGCCTTTGACCAAGATGATGGGAGGAGAGCCTTGGTCTTCTGAGTGTGTGAGTGTGCAAGTGTCCATGAGATTGAGTGTGTGGACGTGTGTGTGTGTGTGTGAGCATGTGTGGACATGAGAGGATCTGTGTGTGACTGTGAGTGTGCCGTACTTGGCAGTGGTCAAGACTGTAGGCTGTAGAGTCAGCCTATGAGTTTTCGGACATTTCACTTCTTGGAGGCTCGGTTTGCTCATCTGGAAGATGTATAAACCTACTTCAGAGGGTTACTGTGAAGATCAAATACGATCATGCATGTTAACTGCAGAAGCCAGGATGACGGAACGCGCTTGTTAAACTTCAGCTGTTATTATGGTCACACGTGGTGCGGCCAGAGGAAGCAGCATCTGTAGCGGGTGGGGTGGGCGGTGTGCACAGGGCGCTGCGCATGGCCGGTGAGGGGTGTGTGTGTGTGTGTGTGTGTGTGTGTGTGTAGTACATGGTATGGATAAGTGTTTTGCATTTTGTGTTGGACCCTCTGGGCTATGGACATTGTGTGGTGAGCATAAGATTTCCTGTATGTTGTATGTAAGACTTTGTACATGTGTGTTACATACCATTGCAGGCTCTGAATGTTGGACGCATCACTAGAAGACGCGATCCAAGAGGGCAGGGATGTTTGTGGAAAACAGGCAGCATCTGACACATAGTGGGTATTCAGCAAACCTTTGCTGAATGTATGAACTGATGAGTGAATGAAGCTGTTGGCAAGTTCGACGTCATGTGAAAGTCGTTGTGTGGCATGTGTGGGTTTGCATGTGTGGGTTTGCATGTGTGACCCCGCAAGGTTGAACCCACATGCTGGGGTGCAGGCAGGCCCTGTTGGCTGTGGGCTGAGTGCCTGCAGGATGTGCCCAGCTGCGGGCTGAGAGCCCAGAGCTAAGTGTGGCTCATCTATGACACAGGACATGAGCAGAGGCGTGTGGGAAGCGTGGTGTGAGAGGGCAGCAGGGCGTGGAGTGGGGGCAGCTCCTTGGCCTTTAGTCACTCACCTGGTGACAACGCCCTTCCCTCTCTTCCTGTCTCACCCTGAGTCCCTCCCGCTCTGGGTGACTGGATGCTGAGAAGGAAAGTTCTTCGGTGAGTCAGTGCGTCTTATAAAGCGGCACAGAAAAGTGGTATTTATAGTGACATAATAAACCCTAATGGAGATGGAATTACCCCATAAAGGCCCCAGAGAGCCCTCGGGGCCTGAGCAGCAAGTAAGCCTTCTGGTACAGGCAGGTGGAGCCTGAGAGAGAGAGAGAGAGAGAGAGAGAGTGTGTGTGTGTGTGTGTGTGTGTGTGTGTGTGTGTGTGTATGTGTGTGGTTGCACGGACCTCACCTCCTAATCCCCACCTCCAGCCCACCAGCCTGCTCAGGTGCCCACCCTTTGCTAGGACTTGGCTAGGGGCTGGTGGCAACCAGATGACAAAGATAAACACTGAAACAGTAGTTTCACCCAGGAGGTGAGCACTGTTACTGTGCCCTGTTGCAGAGGATCAGACTTGCTTGTAAAAGCTGGAAAACAACTAGCGTTCTAGCCCAGGCAGCCTGAATGCGGCACACCCCCTCCCAGGTACCTCTTTCCACTGCCTCTCAAAACACTGAATTCCACAGAACCCAAAGCGCCGCCCCAGCCCAGATGCCTGGACTTATGCCCTGCTGGAGTCTTCAAGGCCAGTCCAATGAGTACCTCCGCAGTGAGGTCCCCAGGGATCAAGCCCTCCCTTGAGCCTCTGGAGCCCCTGTACCACATGCCCTCCAGGACCCTGGCCTCAGCCAGCTCAACTCTTTCTTGTCTTCGGAGCCTCTGAACTGTCTCTCAACTAGACTGTAAGCTCCCTGCGGCAAGGAACAAATCCAACACCCCTTTGCAATCCTGGCATCAGCTAGAACAGTGCCCCGTACAAGGAGTCACTCAAGAGGTGCTCACAATTGATGGTGACCCTCTAAATCAGTTCTCTCCATTCTTTCAATTCATTTTCTCGAAGGCCTACTATGTGCCAAGCCACCTTTACCTATGCAAACTCATCTCATCCTCCCAGAAGCCCCGGAAGGATTAATATGGTCCCCATTTTTGCAGGTGAAGAAAGTGAGACTCAGAGAGAACTTGCTTGCCTAGAGTCATACAGCCAGGACATGGCAGAGGTAGAACTAAAAAGTTAAGTGTGTTTCAGTCCAGAGCCCGGTCTAGCTGTGTTTCTTTGAACACACCATGTGTTTCATGCCTGCATCCCGTTGTCCAAGCTATACCCTCTCCCTGGATGCCCTTTCCACCTCGGCAACTCCTATTCCTTCTTCAAGGCTTACCTTGGAGCAACACAGAAGAGACACTGGAGCCCCCAAATGGAGGCGGGCACCTGGCCTACAGCATGTGCCGAGAGAGATCTGGTGGGTGAATGAATGAATGAATGAGTGATGGGTCCAGTAGACCTGGACTCTGCCATTTAACCACCTGTGTGGCCTTGGGCAAGCCTTATCATCTCAACTGCCACGTCTGTAAAATGGGCATGATAATAATGGTTTCCACCCTCCAGGACTGCTGCTGGGATTAAACGAGATTATATGTTAAACCCTTAGCACCGTGTCTGGCACAGGGTGAGTGAGCGTTACATTTTAGCTACTGTTACCTTTACAATCCAAAGTCACTTCGAAAAGCCAGCTGGGCACTCCTAGGCAAATAAATCTTCTCACCCTGGAACAGACCTCAGCTCTCACACTGTGTTATAATTACTTCCTCACCTTCCCTCCCCTTTAAGCAGGGGGCTCCTTGAGGGATAGAAGCCCAGTGTTATTCCATCCTGCCATGCCCCATGGAGACTGGCATACAGTAGGTGCTCAGTAAATGTACCTAGTACCACGCAGGTTCTAGGACTCCATCTTTCTCAAAGGAACACACTCCCCAGTTGCAACCACACAGTGGGACTTGAAGTTCAGCTTTTCAGGCAAGGTTTTTGGAGTGAACTTGCCTGAGCAGAAGTGTTACTGAGCTCCCCTTCCCCAGTGAGACGGTTAGGGAAGGGGAACTTAAATGTGGGCTCCCTCATTTGGACAGGGACAGTGTGGGAGGAAGGCCTCCCATAATTGTAGGGCTTCCCCCATCCCCAGAGTTGGGTCAGAGGCTGTGCCGCTTCCTTTGGGACTTGCTCAAGCTTCCTGGGATCCTTTGAAGTGGGTTCCCTGAAAATCCTGCCTGTGGGGCCTGGATAAGGGACAGAGCCTCTGGGTGGGGTGGGGCCTCAGTTGGGAGGAGGGGCGGGAGTGAGGTGTGTCCCTGATCAGTGTCGCTTGGGTGCCCATCTTCTGCCTGCTTTGCACCTGGATTCAGAGCCCCCTTCCTCCTGTGCTTGGCTCCCGGACGACACCCCCCATTCCTCTTGGCCTTCTCTTCCCCATCTGGCCACATCCTCTTCCCCTTCCAAACTGAGCTTAGACACCCCTACCCCCCACCCCAGAAGCCTTCTCTGATCCCCGGACCACTGGCCTTTCTCCCTTCTCTGAGTGCCAGTCCTTAACCAGGTGTTTAAAAAAAAATCAAAGTAGGGACTTGGGTTAAGACTCCACGCTCCCAATGCAGGGGGCCCGGGGGCCTGGGTTCGATCCCTGGTCAGGGAACTAGATCCTACGTGCCGCAACTAAGAGCCCGCACAAGGCAACGAAGATCCCGCGTGCTGCAAACTAAGACCCGGGGCGGCCAAATAAATAAACAAACA